AAATTAATTCAAATGAAAGCAAATTAGAAAGTCAATTTCTCGGTCTTCATTTCAAGTGGTCAGCAGCCACGTGGCTGGTGGCTACCCTATTGGATCATGCAGACATAGGGCATTTCCATCCTGCAGAAAACTGCTGAGCAGCACTCATGATTTTCCCCAAGCTCCATGGCCTTTCTGAGCCACTGCTCTCTGAGCAGACGGCCTGGGGGCGGGGGAGCTTCTCTTATGCAACCAAGGCTGTGCACCTGAATGGCCCGCAGTCAAAGGAGGGCGGGAGGGACATGATGGTGTAGGCCACTGGCAGGAGGCTGAGGAAGAGCACCAGCAGCAGGAGGCCCATGTAGAAGTTGTTGGATCGGGAGGCTTTGAACACGCGTTCGTGGGGCACGTTACTGCTCATCACCGCCCAGCACTGGAAGTACATGGAGGTCAGCAGGCGCAGCACGTTGATGCCCACCAGTCCTGGAGCATAGAAGGAGCCCATCCTGGAGGGGCAGGAACACACACCAGGTTGGCCTGGCAGCAGGAGAGGCCAGGGAAGGGTGACAGAAGGAGATGGGATTGAGGGGTTAGGGGGAGGAGGCCTCGCCTTCTCTGCAGGTCCCAAGGGAAGGGGCCTCCCATTTAACCAGGACATTTATCACCACACCATAGCCATTCATTCCTCTGAAGGAGACACTCCGAGCATTATTGCCTCAGCACCAGGCATCTAACAAATTATACGGCCTCCTGTCCGTTTCTCCATGGTCTCCCTAAAATAACAGTACTGCTCAGAAAAGTATTTGAAAAGTTCTCAAATTAAGAGAATTGGACATTGACTTGCACTGAGCCATTGGCATCTTGAAAGTCTTTGGCTGAAGTTATACAACCTCCTCTAACTCCCTCAGAGGAAGAAGTTCCTTAGTTCATTTATCTCCCTCCTTCTCTCCTTCTTTCTTTCTTCCCCTTCCCTTCCCTCCCCTCCCCACTTTTTCCTTTCTGCCTTCTTCCCTCTCTTTCTCCCATCCCCCTCTTCTTTCTGTTTTCCTTCTCTCTCCACCTCTTCTCTTCTTCCCTCTCTATGCCCACCAGAGCACAGGGGTGGGCAGACACTGCTGGTTCTCACCGAGTCCCGCCCCCTGTTTTTCACGTGAAAGGAGGGAGCTCCTGCCTCTCCCAGCTAGTTGAGAGGCCACACCTGAGATTCCAGTTTTCTGACTCCCCAAGTGAGGTGATCCCCAGATGAACTGGGTAACTCACCAGATCATGCCTTGGTTGAAGATCAAACCAAGCACATTTCCACTAATATCAAACTCAGCATATGAAGGCTGCCGAGAGATAAAGGAGGGTGGGAGGTGGGGTGGAGAGAGAGAAACATGTTAGATGGTGTTAGCCAGACACTACTACCAGCCACTGGCCAAGCCAGGGCCTCTCCATCCCACAGAGAGAGGAACTGTTGATTCAGGGTTCTGCTTCTTTAACATACAGGGTGTCCCCTCAATTAAAGAAATAGTTTGAAGTTCTCAAAGTTGAAACTTTTTTCAATGTCTTTTTTAAGAATAAAATGTGAGAGTTTTTATCATTTAGGGCCTGTGGGCTGACTGTGTACTCTTGAGAGGACCCTGGCCCCCTTGAGAACATTTTACCAATGCTCTTATCAGAAATGCACCTTGAAATTATAATCAAGGAGTAATTCTAATAAATAATGAAAATGCAAATAATTAAACAAGGACTTTGAGAAGAAAGTTTAAAAAACAAAAAACAAAATAAATCATCCCCCTAATTCTCTTTTCTCCTTCTCATCATTCTCTAGTCGTAGAGCATTCATGGAAAAGAAAAAGCTTAGCTAGATACATATTTTCAGCCTGACTCAGATTTTCAGAGTTTGGGAGATTTGTGAAGTATTTGAAAGAATACAAATTTGTGAGCACTGGGGAGTCGGGGTCCTCATGAAACATGGTTAAACCTACTTCCCAATTTGCCTTCCAGGAGTGGAGATAACAGGTTACAGGAATGAGAGAAGGAGGAATGAGAAGTTAAGAGAAAGAAAAAGGAAGGTCAGGCAAGCATGGATCAAAGGAGGAAGTATGTACAAATCCAAACACATGAAGGTTAAATCTTGGGAATTTACAATTTAACATTTTAAAATATTAAAAAAACTTTTTATCTATTGGGTTTTGTATTTGCTTAGAAAAATCTGCCTCATCCCAACATTGTAAGTTTTATATTATACTAGAGGCCCAGTGCACGGATTCATACACATTGAAAGGAAATTGATTAGAAGAAATATTTTAGAGGCCAGGGAGGGACCATGGGAGGTTGGCTCCAGGGCATGTCTGGCCTTCTCTCCCAGTGCTGATCAGCTGGACCTCAGCAGCAAGCTAACCTACTGGTCGGAGCATCTTCCCCCTGGTGGTCAGTGTGTGTCATAGCGACTGGTCGACTGGTCGAACACTTAGCGTATTAGGCTTTTATATATATAGATATGCTTTCTTTTATAAAGTTATCACTTCATTTTTTGATGTTTAAAACTTTGATTCGCTGCAATTAATTTATTTAGGTAAAATGAATGAGATATAGTTCCCCTTCCTATGGTTATCCAGGTGTCTCAATCCATTTGTTATATAATTCTTTGTTTTCCCACTGGTTGGAAAGACTCCCTGTATTGTTAATTAAATTCCCATATTGATTGTACCTATTTCTGGACTTTCTATTCTATCCATTGATAAGTTTGTCCATTCCCTAGTACAGTTTTAGTTTCTATAGCTTCAGAGTATTTTTTTTTAAGAAATAACTTTATTTGTTGTTGTTAATCCTCACCTGAGGATATTTTTCCATTGGTTTTTACAGAGAATGGAAGGGAAGGGGAGAGAGAGAGAGAGAGAGAGAGAGACAGAAAGAGAAAGAAACATCGATGTGAGAGAGACACATTGATTGGTTGCCTCCCACACATGGGCTCGGGGATGGAGCCTGCAACCAATGTATGTGCCCTTGACCAGCAACCAATGTATGTGCCCTTGACCAGAATCAAACCTGGGATATTTCAGTCCTCAGGTCCAGGCTCTATCCACTGAGCCAAACCAGCTAGGACTAGAGTATGTTTTAATATAAGGGTGGGTCTAGTCCCTTTCATTCTGCTGTTCTAATTATTTTCCAGGTTATTTTCACAAGATTAGTTTTCAAATGAACTTTAGTAATATTTTGAGATTTTGTTGAACTTAATAAATTAATTTGAGAGCCCTGCCATCTTAGCAATGTCATGACATAAAGATGCCATCTTTTTTGAGCACGTGGTTCTTGCACCCTTGTTCTCAGATAAGATTATGAAGTTTTCCTCACTGAGCAGGAGTTGAGTAGGCCTGTGTAAACTGTGGCTGGTGACTAAAAAAAGATATGACAGAGACCTATACTTGGGCCCTTACCTGGGCCAGGTACCCTGCTGCCGGCGAGGATGAGGATGACAAAGTAACAAAAGTTGGAGCTCGGTTAAGGGGGAGGTCCCTCCCAAGACCAGTGACCACTGGGTGGGCAAGTGAGGTGTTTGGTAGAGACTCACAGGAGAGATGGGGCCTTAGGCTCTGCCAGATCATGGAAGGCCACTGGAGAGAGGAAATGACACACGTTTAGAATGAGCAGTCTCCCAGGTAGATGGGGAAGAGGAGTAGCCAGGGGAGGAATAAGAATCAAAGAGGTTAGTCAAAGCACAATCCAGAAGACAGAACCAATGGTTACTGTGTTCGTGGTGTGTCTCAGGAATTTCTGAAACATTCATGTCCACATCTGCCCTGCCGCATTCTAGGATTTCATTAGAGTTTCAAAAATTAGGAGCTGCCATCAGAAGGGGATGGTTCAAACAACTTTCTGCGGAATAGCTGTGAAACGGTGACGTACAAATCCAGCCTCCAGGTCCCAGCACCAGCAGTAGTTCATGAACCGGACAAAACAAGCCCTCAGGAAGTCCCCCAGCAGGATGGTGATGTACGTTACCAGCATGTCGGACACCGTCAACCTCACGAATTCCTGCAACGAGGAACACAGAGGGAGGGGTGGTCAGGGTTGGCCCTTGCCCACCTCTCCCAACTGACTGCAGCCATGCACACTCTCCCCCACCCACCTGTATTCTTCTCTGTGATCCTCTGAATTTGGGGGCACAGTGGTGGTGGTGCAGAGCAAAGATCAGGCTTTGAAATATTCTTACATAGGTCTGAGCTCTATAATTACTAATTGTATTGCTTTGAAATAGTCTCTGAACCTCTTGAAGTTAATAATGTTAACCTTGCAGGGTTATTGGGAAGCTTAGTGATTATGCATGCAAATTGCCTGGCACACTGGTAATGCCCAATGCTTGGCAGTTATCAGCACAGATACAGGATCTGAAGGCTTGCCCCTTACTTTCCCCACCTGCTCTGAAATACCAGCTGCCCCGGCTAAGACTAAATCTGATCATTGTCACCAGGGACAACAGCTGGTTTTCTTTACCTCTGGCTAAAGATTTTTTCTGGTTATATAGAGAAAATAATGCAGGTTTTTCACAGAGGCACATAGCAAAAGAGGCAAAAACGTATTACTTTTGGGGGGAAATTTAAAGATCTACCAGATAATATCACAAACTTTAAGACATCTAGTGGACTTGGAATTCCTAGAAAGTACAGGGTCTGCTTTATTCATTTTTATATCCTCCAAATTGATTAATAAATTTTTGCTGGATGAACAGCTGATGAATTTTCAGGGTTATTCCTCAGTAAGAATTCAGGTTTATGTTTAAGTAATAGACAACCCAGCATGTATCAGGTCTCCACTCTGTGCAAAGTGATGCTCTGGGGCCTGGGCTGGAGGTGGTGGAGGACATAATGCCTCAAACCCATCATCATCAACTAGCTCAGAAAGATACAAACTTTTATTACTGATGGGAACAGTGATGGGCATTGAGGGAGGAGGGCAAGAGAGACACCCCTCAAGGATGTGGGGCAGGAAATGAGAGACTATATAGCAGAATATTTAAAAAGAATCATGTAGGTAACGAACTCTGTATGGCCTTCTAAAGAGGATTGGTTTTATTGACTTGAAGATTCTTTCTCTGTTACATATTGTGATGAGTTGAATGCAGGAGCTGGGGAAGCTCAGTGGCTCTACACCTTAAAGATGAGGAAGATTTGAAGAACATGGGAATCTGGACTGGAGGAGGAAGAGATGGTGAGTCTGAGCTCTCCATGAAGGAGGTGGGAAGAAAAGGCCCTCAGGACCTCCATGGGCAAGAACAGATCTTTTCCCTGCGGGATTTGCAGGTGGTGAACTTGTAAGCAGTATTCAATGGAATGTGTGATGTAATTCCCTCTTTCGTTGTACTTCATCACCCTCAGTTAATAACACGGTTGTTTGATGCTCTATGTGAGTGGATTCTTCAGGGGACCCAGGGAAAAGTAATACACTCTGCATCTCAGTGGGGTGGCTGATGGAGAGAAACCCCATGCAGAGAGATGGAATTGAGGAAGAGAAGGCAGCTGACCTGTGTGACTTGTGAATATTTTAAGTTCTGCCTGTGAAGGCCAAGAACACTAGGCTTTAAAGTCTGCCCTGTGCAAGTTACAGGAATGGTGGTAAAAGTGGATAAAGGGAAATGGCAGTTGTTAATTTTTGAGTCTCTAATAAAAACTATTAATTCTCTTTACAGAAAAATGCACAGATGCACATACACAAAAAACCCTGAATCCAATTTTTAGGAGTCTTTGTTCTCCAGGTGGAGAACCTTGCAGTGAAATCTACAGTAAAACTCTAAATAAAGTAAAAAATTAGATTAATGAATGAAGCATATAGAGAAATATATGGATATTGAAAAAATGGGAAAGGGAAAAAGTAGAACTTTCCTAAGAAATACTTGCTGGACATTTTGGTGGCTTAAAAATGGAAACATCAAGAAAAGAATAAAAATAATTGAGAACAGGGATGACTTTTCAGGAGAGCACAGCTACTCACAATGCCCACGGCTGTCTCCCAGCAAGAGCCGCGGGGCACGTCAGCAGGGTGCAGGGGTGGCCGGGGGACACTCTCGTTCCAACCCGAGGAGTTGTAATAGTTAAACAGAGTCCAGTGAGTGATGTTCTTTATTGTCTCTTCATTAGAGAGCTGGAACAGAAGATGGAGATGCGGGGTTGGAAGGAACCAGGGATGGCCCAACTGTTTCCACAGGAACAACAACTAAAGCCAGCACATGCCACAACCTTACCACCTCATATCTGCCCTACCCCTCAATGGAGCACCCCCAAATCTAAACAGAAGAAGGGGCAATTGACCAAAGTCCTTGGGTCTTTTCCATGAAGTTATCATCCATCCATCCATCCATCCAATCATTCATTCTTCTTTTGAGAATAATTGATTCAGGGTCTATTCTGGACATATGAGGCAGTGGTGACACAGAAGTGAACAAGAGATGGAGCATTCCTCAGAAAGTTCACAGTCTCATAAGTGACAGAGATGAACAAACAGTTATAGAATCTATACTAATAAAAGGGTAATATGCTAATTAGACTGGGAGCCTTCCGGGGGACCTTCTGGACATCCTTCTGGACAAAACCATGGTGGTGGGGCTGAGGCAGAGGCAGTTAGGGGCAATCAGGCCAGGAAGGGA